ATGCACAGGTTCAATGACCGGTCACGATGGCGAGCCCGACAAGAAGCTTGTATAACTTTCTTTTTCTTTCTGTTTTTTTCACAAGTGACAGCACAGGACAAACGATTTATTTTCATGGCGACACAGCGTATGTAATGCAGAACCTGCATGTTAGAAATTTGGCGCTATCAGACTACTATAGGTCCTACCGGCAAATTTCTAGGTGGTAACGAAAGCGAAAGTAGATCTTGATTTTTCCCGATCGAACTTTGGTATCACACATACACTTCCACTTGTTGCCGCCATAACCGCCTGTGCGCAGGTAACGTACTCTCAGGCCGGGAAAGGCCGAATTAATTTTATATCACAACCGCGACCGGCAAAAATGAACTCAAGGACGTTATCGGATTTGGTTTTCAAATATTCGAGAACGTTTATGTATTTTCCCGGGTCTTTCACGGGGCAATTTACAGATTTCTTCAAATTCCCGTTGCATTCCGGGTCTCGGCGATTTTTTTCAAATGACTGGGTAATTCCAGGGGCCCCTGGGATTCCAGGGGCCTGGCAGTCACCCTGTACACATGTTCCTGTCCGATCTGGCAAAATTCAAGGAGTTTTCAAGGAGATTTTTCCTTGAATGCAAATTCAAGGAGTTTCCAAGGACATTTTTCCTTGAATGCAAATTCAAGCAGTTTTCAAGGACTCCTTGAATTCAAGGAGGCCGCGGGAACCCTGCACACATCCCCATGCACTACTGCTGTGCAATTTTGAGAAAAAAAAACTTTATCGAAGCTTCAAAGCGTGAGGTCACTAATCATGCTATTCAAATTCTGTGCGCAAATGCTTTTTTTTGGTATTTTGTAAGTTAATTCCTCGCTTCCCCAATTCAACATTCACTAACTGTTCACAGTGTTATTCACTGAGCCATGTGTTCCGTCTCACAGACAGTGCAATACAGTGACGTCATACCAGAATTCATAAAGCTTCAAATTTCCAATAGAAGGAGCTGATTGCGACAACCTACTGTTGATTTCTTGGAAAAATTCACTGCACTTCAAGAGTCAAGTGCCCTAAAGCTATTTATGGTGTGAGCTGTGAGTAATTGAATAGTGGTGAATATCTCTTAGGACTTAGAGGCGAGTTTTATAACTCTAGTTGGCTCCACTCTGTCTCATAATCATCAAGAACAAAGTATTGCTGTATTTACCTCAAAAGTTATCGGCAATAACATGGCCTCATTGGAGCCCAATCGGTTATAGCAGGGACAAAGGCTCATTAACAATGTGTAAAAAGAGAGAGAGAGACAGAGAGAGAGAGAGAGAGAGAGGGAGGGAGGGAGGGAGGGAGAGAGAGAGAGAGAGAGAGAGAGGGAGAGAGAGAGAGAGAGAGAGACGCAATGATGGAGCAAGCCATGCCACTGCAAGCACGAAACTGAAAGTAGATCTAATTTACGTCGTCGTCCTTTTTTGCATTCATATTTCTACTCAGGTTCCGACAATTATGTCGGAAATGCCAACGTCGGCAGTCGGAACGAAAACAAAAGTGCAGAAAAAGCTGATCGGAGAAAAAGGGCCGCTGGCGATTGGCCAGGCCCCGCACTTCGCACACTGACTTACAGGCGGGCCTCGCGAATGCATCGGCCGGGTCGCGGGTCAGGTCGCGATTGTCGGATTTCAGACGATTGTCAGCAAACATGCAGGTCTACATCAAACTTACTTACTTACTACCCTCTCATCCCATTCACCCATTCATCTCACCTTGAGAAACAAACCCTTCTCCTCCAGATTCAAGTCGTTATCCACCACGTCCCACAACCAGTTGATGACTTTGTGGTTGTTGTGGTAGCCTCCGTGGTAGCGGGTGTGGTGTCTTTGGGAAGGTGGGGAGTTGGGGAGGGATGGAGGTGAGAAGGGGAGAGGGTGGGGGTAAACAAATGCAAAGTTCTTCAGGGATTCACAAATATATAAAATCTTGCAAGATAACATAATAATTAACACGAACACCAGTTCTTGTTGGTCTTTTGTTTTAGTAAGTGTTAAATGGCACTTCGGTCAGATAAGCGCCTAAGATAGGAGGTCTTACACGAGAGTAACAAACAAAAAAAAAAAGAAGGAGGAGAGATGAGGATGATAAATGTTTGATCGGAAAGAAGGAGCAAACCACATCAGAGCACCTGCCACCCACCCAGAACACAAGTTCTGTGTGTGTACAAGTGTTGGGTATACGGACAGAGGGGTGGGGGGTGGGGGTGAACATACTGTGGAACGTTCACATATCCGGAATAGAATGCTTACCACCGTGAATAGGTCTTGGTAATCATGACTTCTTCCGTATGGTGAATTAGGGAATGCTTCTGACGCGCCAGCTAGTCTTGGAGAGAGGTGCGTTGCCGTAAGGTGACTTGGTACCAAATCCGATTTCGTGTCCAGTTCGCTAGGGTTCGTTGCTAACGCAAGGTAATCGTGTGAATGGCGTTTGAGTGTCAGTGTGTGTGTGTTTGTGTGTGTGTGTGTGTGTGTGTGTGTGT